GGGGGGGAGGGGGAGCTTGTAAAATGTTCCTTCTTTTTTTTTTCTTACGGCATAATACTTCGATAGGCACGTCGTTCTATTGGCCTGCACAAAAACACTATGTTGATGATATGCGGAAAGAAAAACAACAAAACGAATTATAACAGACATCCAAAAAGGCCCAGTCGGAGAAGCTTCTGAAGGAATGCAAAAGCCTGGCTATTGTAACCTAAAGCAGTGTACTACTGGCATTGCCGTATAGCAATATAATTGCAAATAATGTTTAGTCATGTTAGTAGTCATCTATTATCATACAATTCCCGGAATTCAACCTAAGGGCGTTATAAAGTACCCACCGAGGCTGTTTTGTCACAAAGTTCCCGCACTTCAAATCCGAGTTGCGTCAACAGGGCAGTGATGTTCTGAAAGTCAACATCCCCTCCACCTCTATTGCTGAGATGATCAAACGTGACGTTGCTCACCACATACGCCAAACCACGCGGTTGTTTCACCATGGTGTAACATAATGGCTGAAACAATAGTTTTTGTTACTGGACGCGTTTCTATTTTTTCCGAGTAGATAGAATTGTTTTAGATGAGTTTTGTGTATGTTTGTTCAGACAGGTTTGGTGACAGCACGCGGGTAGCGGAAAGACGATTACAGAGTTATGCTTAGGTCACATTTGAAACGGCGCCCGTTCGGCATGTCCTCGGCGTAGACGCCGGCCGGCGTCATGACGCCGAGCGTGCGCCGTACTGTCAGGGTCACAATTAAATGTTCCTTTACGGCTCCCTGTCGGGGCCTGCTTGTGCTCCGGCCGGCGGCTCTCATTAATATTCATAAACTTTTGCGGCCGGTTTCTGTCAGGGACCCGTCCGGTGCCCGGTCAGTCGCCCGTCTTGACCCGTGCGGCGTGTGGTAGGGTGCCGACCGGCTCTTACAGTTCGGCCGGGCAGCTGTCAGGTCCCTGGCGGGTTCCTGGCGGGATCCCGACGGGCTCCTATCGTGTTTTTGAGCAGGTACATATATAAGCGCTGCACTGCCTGCTACCGTTCACTTCAAGTAAAGAGTTCACGTCAAGTAAAGAGTAGACTGGAGTTGGCGATGCAGCGTTCAGTGCAACCTGCAAACAACTTACAAGCCCGTCTGAGATTGAGATTGGTGACAACCTACATGTAGGTCTTTTGGCATTGGTAGCTGAAGAAGAGAGGCAGGCAGAACTGGTGCGTCGCAAAAGTAACCGAGGGCCTACTTTCGAAGTAACTTCAACAGTGACGCAGGAAGTGTGCCGTGGCAGCTCCTTGCTATTGAGCAATAAAACCACTGAATATCGTTACTTCTGTTGAAATTTGGACTGAAAATAAATGCCAATAACTTCTGATTCCATTTTATTACGAAGGCATATGATGTAACAAGAGATAATGTCAGACACATTCTATTCCTGTTATGATCTGTTTTATGAAGTTGGCAAGAGAGCCGTGCCGGCTGTTTTCCCTTGNTCAACCATGAAATCCCTCGCCTACCTCAGGCACTACTTCCTTGCAGACACACCCAGTCTGCTGGTCTGTCAGATGGCATTTGGCTGCAATGACCCTGAAATCTAAACTATGCCTGAACCGGTCCACGCGGGATACAGCTGGATTTCAGCACAGCCTTTGACCGGACTGACTTGTGTGTTTACCTTTGACCTTGGCCGTCAATCAAAAGGCCCTTCAAACGGTGCGGAGGGCATGTCAGTGGATAATATGTACGGTCACGGTGATGTACGGTGTTCTTGACTGCATTTGATCATGAACTCGGTCGGCTTGAAGAAAAAACAACCATGGTCAGAGCCCCTGACCCATCGCACTTGTTCAATCTCCCTACTGTGTGTGTGTGTTGCACAAAGTAGAGGTGGTGTGTGGTTAACAAGCGACCTAAAATGTAGCCCTATACCTCTAGCCTCTACCAGGCTTCGGGAAGCGGCTGGAAAGAGAAGAAATTGGTGAAAGAGACAGATGATATGCCAGGGGAGTTGGCTCGGGAGAGGCAAACTGTTCTCTTAAAGCGGACCAACTCATCCGGCATATTACTAGTATCTATTTGGCCAATTTCTACTCTTTTTTCAGCTGCTTCCCGTAGACTTCGTAGAAGCTATTACCCTTGCTTCATGTGCTTGGTAAATGATTCTCTTATGTGTAAAACGCTTTGACTACGGGCACAAAATACCGACCCTAACCCCAAACGTGTCAAATCTACAGGAGGGTCTGCATGGGGGGGTCCTGGCAACGGTTAACGGTAAATTCAGTAGGACCGAAAACGCTTAACGGTAAATTCAGGACGGTCGGCAACGCTTAACGGTAAATTGACAGGCTTTTTTCGAGTTGCACTGGATTTGGTCCCCTAATGCGTCCACAAATAAAGGGGAGTCCGAGTCGACGTCGGCCAAGGCTCTACCCAGCTTACCTTTTTCCGTCCGCCCAGTTTTACCGATGGATATTGAGAGTGGAGCGCCGAAGGCGCTCGCAATCTAAGGGGTTCCGAGGGGTGCTCCCCGGGACATTTAAGATTTTTAAGCCTCCAAAAACGCAATTTCCCACATTTTGAGAGGCAAATCATGGTGTTGAGAGTGTTTGTCGGTCCTTCTGATGCTTTCATATTTTTCCTTAAGTTTTTTTGTTCGTTTTGTCTGTCAAGGTTGACGGATTCGTTAAAAAATTCTGTAACGCTCCGCAAACTTCCGGTAATTGACGGAAAACTGGTGCTGGCTAGAGCCGAAGGGGACCGAGCGCATATAAGCACGAGTCGAGCGCCACAGGCGCGAGCAATGTAGGGGGGTCCGGGAGCATTCTCCCCCTGGAAATTTTGCATTTTTAAACCTTCAATGACGCATTTTCCTGCACTTTGAAAGGCAAAATTAGGCGTAACGAAGAATTATTCATTAACGCTTAACGCTGAATTTAGGATGACAAATAACGTTTTACGTTGAATTAAAACGGCCAATAACGCTTCACGATGAATATACTGATAACGCTTAACGTTGAATTAGAGCGGGTCGGCAACGATTAACGGTAAATTAAAATAGCCCATAACGGTTAACGAAAAAGGGCATGTAGGCCCTCTTATAAGTACTGGCGTTTATAAGTACAGCCGTGAGTGAAATTTCCCGCCAGTACTTATAAACGTAAGAACCACTGACGGGCCGTGAGGTAGGGGTAAACTTTTGAATGGGAAGGATTTGTGCAACGCCACTTGGCAGAAAGGTGGTCCAGAATGTTTGCCGGAGCATGGGCTACTTTAAATTTGGCGGCACAGCCTTTATTGTTATTTTGCAGACGATTTTCGTGTCGGCTGTGAGCTGTGCCGCCATTGGGGGCTAAGCAGAAGGACGGGGGCAAAGCAGAATTGCGCCGGGGGCGTAGAGGAACGACGGGGGCGAAGCAGATTTTTTGCGGGGGCGAAGCAGAACGGGGCGGGGGCGAAGCAGAACGGCGGGGGCGAAGATGAAGGAGTTTCATGGGGGTGTTAGAGGTCGACATGGGGGAATTCACAAAGGGGAGGATTAATTGCAGGAGTAACAGGAATTCGGAGATCTCATACCTCCATGAAATATGTATATGAATTTATGTAAATGGTTATTGGGGGATTGGTCTCATTAAAAAAAGATCATAATTACTATAATCTAGGTAAATTTATGGTTTTCTAAACTCAGATTATATTATTTTGCTTGTAACATGCCTAACTTTTGGCAATATTTTAAGTCAACATGTCCCCGTTAATTACGCAAATGACCTCTATATTAACATAATATATGCATATTGATGTTAACCTTTAGATAACTTACACATGTCACAATGTATGAAATTCCCATCACTCACCATTAAGAAATCATAGAATTTTCAAATTAATTATGCGAATTAGGTAATTTTTTGCATAATTGGTATCTGTTGATGCTCCACCTGCTGTAGATTACATACATTACATTACATGTAAACCTACACCAAACCTACATCAGTCTCCAAAAATCAAAGATCATAGCATGTTCACGACAAAAGATACAAAAACCGGAAGTTCTGCTGCAGCACTGAGGTCAGCCAACAGGAGGCCCATATTTGACCTTTACCTTTGTCTTCCTACGACCTGCTGACATACCAAATATCATCACAATCCATAAAGGCGTTCTGAAGTTATGCTGACTACAAATGTGCGGAAACATAAATACACACAGACACACAGGCAGACACACACACACACACACACACACACGCCAAAAACAATACCACTATTTTTCATGAAGGTAATAACCTTTCAAACCTGCACAGCTTGCTACTCCCGATTAAAGTACTTGTACATCATACGATCTCAAGGACAGGATACTCAAAAGACTCAGTTTTGGAAGTCAGAAATGTCTTAGTCCATGTTCTCTGCTTAATCTGGCAATGAACAAATTATGTAACGTAACATGTTTTTCTACAGAAAAATTCTAATCAAACTCAGTAGAAAGTTTACATTCAGACAAACATACGAACAGTTTCCTCTTTTCTGACTTTTAAAAATACCCTGAAAGCCTATCTTATAAACCACCCCAGCCCCTTGTATTCGATTCATATCTTCAGTTATTGTTTTTTATTTTATGTATACTATTGTTTCATTATTGTTATTGTTTCATTTTGCCTATGCTTGAATTATTTTGCTAACAATTCCTTATGCATGTATGTATTATTTCATATCAATTTCATTTCGTCTCAATTTATGTATACTTTTGTTTCATTATTGTTATTGTATCATTTTGCCCATGTTTGAATTATTTTGATGACAATTCCTTATGTATGTATGTATTATTTCAATTCAATTATGTTTAGTTTTGGTTAGTATAGAGGAGGAGGGCTTAGCATAAGCTAAATTAGCTTTTTCCCCTCCTCCTGCACCTGTTTTATTTATTATTATTGTATTATGTATAATTTCTATTGCTGTTGTGCATATAAGCAAACAAACAAACAAAGATTATTTTCATAACTAAATCACATTAGTTATCACACTGTAGTATTATCATTATCAGTATTATTATTTACCGGCAACTTCCCGATTAAACACCCAGCATGGCTGATAATACTTATGTCATAATCACGTGAGTAAAAACACTATACATTGTGTAATATTGTGTATACAAAAATGGCACAATAACAAATAGTGATTATGGTACATGCACTGAGTAGTTATGAAAAGTTACCTGTGAGTTTGATGTTTTTTCGTTGAAGAACCTCTCTGTACTCGGCTCTACTCTCACTGCAATCGGCCCATCTGTGTCATCCAAAGCGATGTCCCCTGAATTTGAGATTTTTGCAGAATATGGCAGAGCAACAGACATATATCAGTTTTGTGCATCTCTATCCAAGCTACGTACATGCCCCCCTCCCCTCCCAAAAAGCTTTTCTTGAGTTCTCTTTCAAAGTGTCGGAGCTAGCTAGGAAGCTCATACCTACGCCACTTCTCACCAACACGAAGCGCTATCTTTCACCTAATAATAGATGCAAATCATATTATGCGATAAAATGAAGATCTGAAACCACTATATCTTCTTTAGTAACACCAGATAACAGACGAGCACAATGACTGGGTGGAAACACACAGGGGCAAGAGCTCACCCCTTGCTCTGTGGTGGTAACAGGATTTTGTTGTGGGCGAGTATCAATTGACTCATGTATTAAGCTGCGAACTCTTTTCTTTTGTAGTCTTTTGTTTAATCACTTGATTTATAGGAATGTATAGGAATCATTCTGTTGCATATAGATTGTTGCATATGAGTTATTTATATTTTGTTATTGTTTTTGTCAGTTCAAATATCTGTTTACTGTTTTGTTACTTCAATTTTCCATTGATTGGGCATGTACATCAATTATTACTCTCATTTCAGACATAGGATTTCTATTATTTGACCTCTGACCTCCAATGCACTTTTATTTCTCTATGCTGATTGTGTTTCAAGTTTGTCATAATTTCAACATAATTTTGTATGTTCTATTTACTATCATTATTGCTAAAAGTAATTATTATTATTATATTACTATTATTTGTTATTTATTTGTTATATTATGTTGGACTCCAGGAAGAATAGTATGGAATTAACCATACTAATGGCGATCGCAATAAACAAACAAACAAACAAAAAAAACACGTCTTACCGTTGGTTCCCCTGCTAGCACCACTAATAGCCACCTCGCCCATTCCAGTTTCTAGCTGTTGCATCGAGACCGTAGAGGTAGCTCCACCCTGTGTGGGTGCTCGTCCCAGGAGTTTGTCAAGGATGAATTTCTGCTTGACATGGTCGTTCTCCAGAGCGTCACAGAAGGCTTGAAACGCCAGCGGCCCCCTGCGTGGCAACAACTCCAGCAACTCCCTTCGCTTCTCTCTGGGAGTAGGCTTGCTCTAAGCAAAGATGAAGTCGGTATTATGAGAAGGAGTAAAGCTATTCAGTTCTGATCCTGTACTTTTGTATACATGCCCACACACGTGTAAAATCGTATATAAAATAGCTTACTTTTTTGTACCCAAGAAACCTAATATATAAACGTTTCACATTCGACGGACGACAGGTGCATGGATACAGGTTGAAGGCATTCTTCGGTGTGTCGAACAGAATTCACGTCTTTTGTGAGTTCAAACGATTAACACAAAACAAATGTTGTTGTTTTTATATCATAACCTGACTGTAAACCCTGTCACAACGAATTAAGAATCATACCGAGAAAAATTAATTTTACAGACAAGGC